TATGTAATTTTGAAAAGCGATGGTATTTTTATTTTTGAATAAAATATAAATTTGATAAAAATATATCAATATTGATATCAAATTAACTATTTAAAATTCTTCATTTTTTGTGTAATTTTTTAATCCAATTTTTTTATTATAATTTAATTTAGGTTCAATAACAAAGTAATTTATATTTGGTTTAATAATATAATTTTCTTATAAAGATAATAATTAATTACTTTGTTAGAACTCGATAATTATTCTAATTATATTTTAGATTTTTTATATTTTACAATGAGATGTTTATCCTCTATTTGATTATGTTTAGTTACACGAATTCAAAAATGAAGCTTTAAGAAGTTGTACTTATGCATAATTTACTTGTAATATTGAACTTTAAGTAATATGCATCAATAAACAGTATTTCATGCATAAAAAATGATTTTTAAAAGTTTTTGTCAAATGTTTTATAATATAGTATAGATATAGATATGTTATGGCAGTGACCATTTTTAAATAATATCTTACTACTTATATAAATATTTAAAATATATGTAACAATAGACTGATTTAATAATTTTTAAATAAGATTAAAATCATAATAAAAGGTTATTTAAAATTTATAAACAATATACTTTAATAATATTAAAATAAAAAAATATTGTAAAATAGGTAACAAAACAAGACCTCATTTATAATATGACAACCAACAAATGGAAAAAGCAAACATGAAACTATTCAAAAAAAGAAGAAGTCACAATTTTCACTGTGGACAAAGGAAGTTGTTGCAATTCTGGAACTTTATGAAAAATAAGGTTCAATCCTTTTCAAACAAAAAGCAATGTCATGAGTTGACATAATTTAATTAAATAATAACGGAAATATTATACGTATTATTTTTTTATGTCAGATTCAGGTTAAATTGTGCATGGAGAATGTAAAAAGTAAGCGTAACTCTAACAGATTCTTTAAAATAAAGAAAGTTGGGATTTTAGGCAATTTTGTGCTCTAACATATTCTTCAAAATGGAAAAAGTAGGAGAGATGGTGTAAATTTCTCAAAATATGGAGAACTCTAAGAAAATGATTACTATCAAAGTAATTTTTTTTTTTATATTCCACCAATAAAAAATATTGAAATAAAATGTTTAGAAGGGATAAATAATATTTTATTAAATGTATGAAATATTTTAATAATGTAACATACAGAATGAAGAATATATTGGAGTTGAATGCAATTATTTTTAAAGATTTTATAATTTGGTTCTCCATTTTTGAAAATGTTTGGAGTATCTATTAGAGAACTTGATGTTGGTGTATGCAATGGGAAAATTAATAGGTAGAAATACATATAACGTCCATTTAAGCTATGTTTGATAAACTAGCTGGTAGTTGATAAGTTAATTAATGGTTGATAAGCTTATAAGATAGTATCGACGACCTGATGAAAAAATCATGTTTGATAAAATTAGTTGATGAGAATATAAAATAATCAAAAATGGTATCTTAAGAAATAAATAAATTCTAACATTTCAAAATATATATAGTTGAAACAAATCTCAAATAATAATATATTAACTAATACAATCAAGATGATAAAAAAATTAAAAAATATATATAATATATTAATAAAAAAGAATTTCAAATTAATTGTTATATACATTATAATATTTGAATTTGTTAAAATAAATTTTAGGAAAAATTTATTATTTATGATTTTAAATAATCATTTACATATAATAAAAATAAAAATAAAAATAATCTACCTCGCATATCTTAATTAATTAATATTTTTAAACTATATTTAATAATTAAATTAAATATTTTATTCAAATTTTTTAACACAATTTTATCATCTATAAAATAAAATAAGTATAACTTTATTTTTATGTTACATAGATATCATTAAAAATGTCATATTTGCATTTTCATCATTAAATATATTTAATAACAATTAAAAAATAATTATATGAACAATAATTGATATGAACAATAATAATAAATAAATAATATTAATATGTAATGTATAATTAATAATTAATTTTTAATTTATATTAACTAATAATTAATATTAGTAATATTTAATTTTATCAATATGTATTTATAACTAATTGTAATAAATAATAATTAATTTTAACGAGGGTTATACTTGGAAAAAAGTGCCAATAAGCTACCAAAACGCTACTCAAAGTAGCATTTCAATAAGCTACCTTATGTACATCCAAACGTATAACCAAAAAATAAGCTAACTTACAATGCCTTAACCTACCTCACAATACAATGTATAAAAGTAAAAAAGATTATATTGTTTTAATAAACATACATTTAAAAAAGTTTGTTTTTAATAAACTTATGACACGAAATTCCAAAAAAAAAAGTATTTATTTTCTGAGAAGAATTTCTTTTACAAATTATAACACGTTTTTTTTTTTTTTCAAATTAGAGTCTATTCATGTCACTCCATTCATCCATTGAAGTGGTAGTGTATTGGAGTTGGGCTTTTAATTGGAACTAAAAAAATCCTTTGAGCCCAATCCAGATTCGAGAGGCCCATTACAAGTGGTTACAACTTACAAGAACATATAAAGTTCATATTACAATGAAAATGAGTTGCTATCGTTGAAACTCCGACTACGTAAATTTAAATATGAACGATGAATATAAGTAACGAGAGAAGATGTGATAAACTTGTTGAGGAGGAAATACTAACACGACTGGGTACGCAACCCACGTCACATATGAAGTCGTGCACATGCTTCCTGATTCCAGTGAGTTACGCTACTCATTAGGTGTAACTCGGGTCGTGTATTTGTCAAGACATCTGTCTCATTGCGGGCTTTCCGTTTATTTGTGGTGGGCCTTTTTTCTTGGTAAATAATCTTGATTGATTCTTCGCAAAATAAATTAATTAAACCTTGCAAATAATTATTTGAAATATTAGTATTTTGTTTTTAATTTGAGCTTCTTTCCAATTCGTTTTTCTTTCTTCCCATACCATAAATAAAAAAATCTATTGATTCTTGGATCTGCTACGCCTCGTTAATATGAAATTGCATCTGAACCCCGAATCAATGTACCATTGCTTCTGAATTCGTTTTTCTTTCTTCCCATACCATTTATAAAGAATATGTTATTCTTGGATCTGCTATGCATCATTAATATGCAATTTGCATCTGAAACCCAAATCAGTGTATCATTGCATCTAAACCCAATTGATTTTGAAGTATCATAATCCAAATAGAAATCCAGACAAATCTAACATCAACTTACTTACGAAAGAGAGAGATGATACAAGATAAGAAGCTAAACCAAATGACCATCTAGAGAACATGGTATGATTAAGATTACCAGATTCAATGACATACGATAAAAGATAACGACTCAACATGAAAATGAAACTCAAACAATACTTATAAAGAAAAATGAAAGAATCTCCGATGTTCGAAAAGATTTCCATTTCTAGTAAATGTCAATCATAACTAAACAACAACAGACTTCCATGGGGGACAAAACTAGATGAGGAGCGCATCTTTAATACTGCATAAAGAAACACAAGCAACATTCATAACAACCAAATAATACGTACAATTTTTGAGATAATCATTTCTCCTCATTCTTAAAAAGTTTATCATAATTCGATTCCAATCATAGACAGCTAAACAACGACCATCGATGGTACACACCATCTAAGCAATCGTCATCGACGAAACAGTCTATAAAGACATAAAAAACTCAATTAATATTCATTGTCATTCTGAGAAATTGAAAAGTTTCGTCTTGTGTGACACATCTTCCGTTGTCGGAGGTTCTTCTTGATCAATTACGTAGTCCATTGGCAATACAGATGGCCCCCTGAAGTTTGAGATGTATACAACTTCATCTCCTTTTTTTTATTTATTTTAAATTGAATATTTATATTAATTAAATTAAAAATAATAAGAAATACGCGTAAACTAATATTTCCACGAGGATGTAATATGTGGCTTTAAAGAATACATTTCGTTACTTGTCGGTTAGTACAAACGTCAACTAACCGACCAATTTTTCCGGAGGTTGCTTCTACGCCTCTACCCACAAATTAAAACATGCTAAATTGCAACATTGGCCCTTCAACTATCAACTATACTCTCGTTTTCACCCTCCAGTTATAACAAAATACAAAAAGGTTCAAAATTAGTGGAACAAGATACATTTTTTTGTCCCCGTCAAAATAAATTGAATAAAAATCAAAGAGGTGAGACAAAATTAGTAAACATTAAAACTAGGCTCAACCCTGGCTACGTGCAGCCCGTACAACCACATAGGACACCATAAGTCCAAGGGTAATCGAGGTTTTATGTGTTATTGGTTTTAGTTTAATCATCTGGGCTATAAACAACAAGATCAAGGAGTCCAGGAAATCAACTAGCGTAATCTGATTAAAGGAATGCAACATGAATATAATCATCAAACAAATGAACAACCAAACCGATTCTTATTGTTCTTCATCCCTTCTCGTTTGATTAGTTTTGATTCATTCAACGTGGGGATGAGTCGCTTTGCTTGACTAATTCCCAGTTCATTTAGAAAATAGTACGCTTCATTTACTTTAAATATCGACATACGGACATCAGTTGACTCGCTAACCCTTATGAAATTCATACTTAGCCGCTCTAGTACACATGATAGCACACAGTACCATAGAGTTGCTTGTCATTGACATCCTAGCCACACCTGCTCTAGATAGGGTACTGAAACAGGATCAATACAAAGGCAATGCCGTAATCTTGGTGAGAATTCTTTAAAATTAGGAACCTACGGCTTGAATCAGAAACCCTATGACCGAACCTGATTAAAACCTTCTATTGCTTGCTTCGTTATGGTTGGTCCCAACTTAAAACAAAAAGTGTAATTGAACCCGAAATAAAAGATAATTTACATATTTGTCCTTCATCTTTTAGAAATTACAATGAGACCCCTACAACGTGGTGAATCTTGGGCCATGGAAGACGTCAGCTTCACCAAACTTTAGGCAACCTTCTTTTTAACGCCACGCTTCAATTCGCAACACGCCATCTTTAATTCCGTTTACTAGCTAACTAAAAGTTATGCCAATCTTCAAACTTTCTTCTTCGAATCTTCAAATCCCAGCTTCACTGCTTGCTCTTACTGTTATCTGTGTGATCGATTCATCAACTACCTTTCCAAACTGATCAAAAACTTACCGGATTTAGAAAGAAATGGCTTCTTTGATCCTTCCCACAAAGCAAAACCCTCCATCGTCTTCGTTTCTTCAGAGGAACCATCAAAACCCTCTCTTTTTCTGCAAAAGAAGAAGAATCTTGAAAAAGAATCAAACCCTAGTTCCTGTAATTGAAGATCATTTCTTTTTCTTTTTGTTTCTTTTTATGGGTGTTCTTGATTTGGGTTTCTTTTGAGCTAATTTTGATGGGTTTTGCTTGATTGGATTAGGTTGCAAGATTATTTGGGCCTTCAATCTTTGAAGCTTCAAAGTTGAAGGTTTTGTTTCTTGGAGTTGATGAGAAGAAGCATCCTGGGAATCTTCCAAGAACATATACACTTACACATAGTGATATAACTTCTAAATTGACTCTGGCAATCTCTCAAACTATCAATAATTCTCAGGTAATTTGATTGTTTTCTGTCCTAATTTGAAAACCCCTGATGTATAATTGAATTCTTTTTGTTGGATGATTGTTTTATTTGTTGGATTTTTACTTTTAATTATATAAGAAACATAGAGGATCGTTGTATTTTCTTCAAATGGATACCATGGGATAATTGAATTCAAATCCGATAACTTTATTAGTGGTGTTAAAAGAAACCGTTGGATCATGAAAATCCGTCGAACCTTGGTGGTTTGGATGGTTTGTAAATAGCTAACCTGAGGTTTGTGGTTTGAATGGCGGTTTAATCTATCAAAACGGTCGATTGAATTGGAATACACTGTATAATTTGGTGATCAACTACGCTAAGTGCGGTAAAACAATAGAGCACATAAGTGGACTAAGAGACCCCCTTCAGGCTAGACACGCTCGAAAGCTACTTCTAGCTACCCAAAACCATAAACCCTGGTTGTTGGTTCTCTGTCCCTCTCTCAAACCTCCTCGACCACTCCAGCCCCCTCCCGGTCCTCACACAAAGTATGCCACCCTAATCTTGCACCTCCATGCTTTCCTATTTGAGGTCATGTCTTCGAAAATGTCTAAATCTGTTATGTCAAGTCTAAACTACTCATCTCCAATCCGTCTTCCTTGGCCTGCCCCTCCTCTCACCCCCATGACCATAACACTCTCGAATATCCTTACGGATGGCGACATCTGTCTGCCATGAGCGTGTCCAAACCAGAGCAATATTCCCCCCTCAGTTTGTCCAAAATAGGCGCTACTCCCAACTTTGCTCTACAATATCTCTTGTTTCACACCAATGTTTAATTTTATTAGTTCATAGTTCAAATTTCATAACAAGTCTAAACCATGTTGACCATCAACTTTGTGATCCGGTTTGGTCACTCAATGCTGCATCACACGGTTTGAAGAAAATTTCTTAAACCATGATTGGTTGGTTAAATAGAGGGTTAGACTGTTCAGATCAAACCGTGAACACCCATTTATATATATATAGTAAAAGATTCAACATCAAGAATCAAGATGGGACCTTTTATTTGATCCATTGTCTTATATATATTAGTGGTACAGTTGCAGGGTTGGTATAACAAATTATATAGAGATGAAGTGGTAGCAGAATGGAGGAAAGTGAAAGGGAATATGTCTCTTCATGTTCATTGTCATATAAGTGGTGGCCATTTTCTTCTTGATTTGTGTGCTCGCCTCAGGTTCTTCATCTTCTCCAAAGAACTCCCTCTGGTACTTGATCTCTTCACTCTTTTATATACACAGAGGGTCGTGTTAGAGGGAAAACTGAGAAACACCTTAGGAACCATTCATCTGGATGGTATGCACATGTGTATACAATAATGTAAGCAAATTGTTTGGTATGCACACGTGCATAGAATCCACCAAGAAACAACTTCAATTACTCATATGCTCGTGTGCATCTTGTGAAGATGAATGGTTACCGGGATGTTACTCAGTTTTTCATTTTTTAGGGTTTTTCCTTGAACCTTCCTCTATCCATCTATATCATTCTTTTTATAAAACAGTTTAATGAATCGATATAAACTAAAAACAAACACTTGCAATGATTGATTGATTAGGTATTGAAGGCATTTGCTCATGGAGATGGGAATTTGCTGAAGAACTACCCAGAGTTACAAGAGGCTTCAGTTTGGGTTTACTTCCATTCAAACATTCAAGAATTCAATAAGGTAGAATGTTGGGGTCCACTAAAGGATGCAGTGGGACCCTTGTCCACGTCATCTGAATCCACCATTGTTGAAGATGAATCAAGCAACTGGGAGGTACCTAAACCATGCCCAGAAGAATGCGCATGTTGTTTCCCACCAATGAGTTCAATTCCTTGGTCTCATGATCTTGTCAGAAATCAAGATGATGATGGTGTCACCCCAAATGGCTTACAACAAAAAGCTTGATCAAGATTTCTTGGTGGGTATTCTTTGTTTATAGGTATATGATGATGAAGATAAAAAAAAACCATGTAGTACTTGTGTATATACGTAGCATTTTTATTGCTATCAAATTCCAAGATTGTTTAAATTCAGGTCTAACTTTTGCTTCAATGGTTGGGATTTGCTTAAATTAATTTATAATCACTGGATTTTAATCCTATATATATATATATATATACACTATGTTATAAAGCATTTGATAAAAACTTTAAAAAATCATTTTTTATGCATAAAGTATTGTATATTGATGCTTATTACTTAAAATTTAAGATTACAAGTAAATTATGCATAAATACAACTTATTAAAGCTTCATGTTTGAATTCGTATAATCAACTACGGATAAACATAATCAAATAGAGGATAAACATCTCATTTTAAAATATAAAAAAATATAATAGAACAATTAATTCAAAAACTATAAAATATAAAATAATTATTGTCAATTTTTTGGCACATTTTTTTTCAAGAAATAGCATTTTTTTTAATAATTTTGTGACATCATATACTTTTTTTGTTTAGATGGTGAGCCATAATTTTGAATTGAAAACTCTTTTTTTTTTTTTTTTTTGACAACGTGACAGAATTATTTGCTATTTTTTTATAACATTTAAGAAAAAGACCATTTGATGTATTTTTATATTAAAAAAAAGCCAATTTTGTAAGTTAATGAATATCAAAGGATAAAAATCACGTCACATTTATCTTTTTATTCACTCTTCTCAATAAGTAAACGTTGTGAATCCATTTAATTGACGCATATGGAAAAAATTTGAAATATGTGATTTTTATCTAATATCGATAAATGCTTAAATCAAGAATGAGAGCATTTTCATAATCATAAAGACACAAGCATATTTTCCAAATAATATCAATTGATTGTTTTGTAATCATAAAAAAGACAAGCATATTTTTCGAATATTATCAAAATATTTAGAGTGTCATTAAGCATAGTCTCAGGTATAATTGATTTATTTAAATTTGCAAAAGTATTTTTATATGTATTTTTAAAATCAATACACCGTTAAATAATATTTTTTTAGCTAAAAGTTAAAAACCTTTACATATTATTATTTTTAAATAAGAAATGTCTTTAATATTTAATAATATTTAATTGAGTAAATTGTGATTTTCGTTCTTGTGGTTTGTTAAGTCTTTGTGGTTTTGAAATTACGATTTATGTTTTAGTGATTAACAATTTATTGTTATTTCCGTTTACGAATTAATTCTTATCTTAAAGTACAAGAGACCAAACTAAAGAATTATAGACCATATGAACCGAAACAACAATTACATGTAAATTATAAGAACAAAATATAGCAATAAATTATAAATCGTAAGGACAAAACTGTAAAACACTAAATCACAAAGGATTAAAATTTCCAATTTTAACAAAGTAGATGAATGAAAAACATCATTTACTCTATTCAATTTGGAAACTACCATAAGAATTGTTGCCTTACTTTAAAATATAATTTCTATATGACACGAGGTAAAAAGTAGGGGTGATTAAAAATCTGACTAACACGATCAATCCAAATCAACACAGTGCGAAATAATTAAATTGGAAGCAACCCGATATCTAATCGAGTTATAAATTTTTTAACCTGTAGGTATTGAGTTAATATCGGGTTACTATGATTTGAATATAACCCAACCCGATGAACCCGATAACCTTTTTCTTTTTGAATTTAATATGATTGTTGAGTTTATGTTAATATATAGAGTAGACAATTACACTATCATGTACCCTCTTCATATACACAAATTTTTAATCTATTCTCCATTTCTATATAACTCATTCTATATAACTATATATGTTCAGTAACTGTGAATATATATATATATATATAGGGGCCTATTCAAGGGAAAACTGAGTTGTTTGTGGTAACTGTGAGAACCAATATTAACCACAAATCAATAGATAAATTAGGAAATTTATAAATTTGGTAATTTTAAATTAAAATCTTAATGCAATGATATTTTTGGTATTTTAAAACTCTCATCTCTCCTCTCTTCTCTCTTCGGCCACCGTTCTCCGGCCTCCGGCCACCGTCCTCCGGTGATACCACTATGATACATTGATACCACTATGATATCATTTTGGCCGGCGGACGGTGGCCGGAGAGAGAAGAGAGTTGAGAAGAAAGTTGTAAAATACCAAAAATATCATTGCATTAAAATTTTAATTCAAAATTGTCAAAATTATAAATTTCCTAATTTATCTATTGATTTGTAGTTAATATTGGTTTTCACAGTTATCACAAACTAATTAGTTCTCATTTGATTAGGCCCCTATATATATATATATGTAAATGTAAATGTGATAAATGTAAGATTTAACAAGTATGAATAAGTTGTATCAAATGGTTGATGATGAAAAAGAAATTATGAATAGAGAAGTAACATATTCAAGGTTAGAAAAATATTTTAATGTACCAAGGTATCAAATCGACCGATCAATTAACTCGTATAGTTTGGGTTGAGTTTGATTGCACTTTGATTTAGGTTGAATTGAATTACGATTTTTTAAATCATAAAAATTGAATTAGATTGTTCAAATGTTTTCGATCTGAACAAGAAGACTACAAAAACCTTCATGCTTCAATTGATTTATATAAAATAAAGGAAAAAAGGAAGACGCTTTTGGGGTGTCCTTTTGAGTTTTGAGTATTGGCAAAGGCATCATCATCATATCCCTAACTTCCATTGCTTTCCCTTTAATTTCTCAAAATCCACTCATACCATCAACCATCTTAATAAATAATACAAAGGAATTATAATAATTATTTTTTAACAAAATTTGATAAGGGGGGGGGGGGTGGTGGGGGAAGACATTGATACATAATTTATGTTTCAATATAAAAAAAACTATGAGGTTGTTTGTTTATCTTTTAATAGTTTTATTAAGAGGCAATTTCTGAATCGTTAAGAGGTGATTCTTGTTTGGCAAAATAAAAGTCTGCCTCTTAATGGTTCTAAAACATTCTGAATGATTTTGTATCCTGAATCTCCCTTAACCATTAAGAGTTCTAATTTCATTGTACACAATTACCAAACAATTATATTTCATTTYGTATTATATCATGAGAGCCTCTTAATCATTCTGACCACTTAATTATTCTGCACCAAACCATTCAACAATTGTCAAACAACCCCTATGTCTCACTATAAAAGAAAAACACAACATGAAATCTTACTACAATAAATTCAGATTTATAGAACTTAAAAATATTTGAGTGTCTTAATAGATTACTTTATAGATCTTAAGTTTATATGATCAATCAATAAAGCCTGCAATCTAAAAGTGTCGGTTTATTGAATAATGGATCATAACAACTTTTTCAGAACATTTTAAAAATAAAGTGCCGTATAAATTATTTGATAAGACACTTTGAGAAGTCACCGATAAACACACCTTTTTATAGTCCATTGTTTTCACATGGTGTCTTTTAAAATAACTAATATAACACTTTATTTTAAAAATATTCAAAAAGTCTGTTAAGAAGTCTAAAAACGTCCTATAAATTTATTACAACGCATTTAGATGAAACATTTTACTGTTTGATCTTATAAATTTAAGTCCTATAAAACATATTATGGTATACATTTTTTATGTAATATAAACCTAATTTTGTTGTAGTGTATAGATGGTTAAATAAGCTTAACAAAATTAAAATTTTAATAGTATTCAACAAAGAATTATGGATACAAATTAGTATGAACAATTTAACCACACGATTCAACTCACCGAGGAGGTCTAAGACTTTGCTCAATTCTTGGAGTAGTTCTTGTTGCAGAAGCAGAATGAACCCTAATCACATGACCCACCATGGAAACTTGAAGTGCTTCTTCTTCATAAGCTCTTCTCTCCATCTCCTCTAATCTTTCCTTCTTCTTCACCTTCACAAACATCGCAATCAAAAGCAACACCACCAAGAAAACCGCAATGGCAGCCCCAACTGAGCATCCAAACGCCACCGTCCACCGCCTCATCTTCTTCCTTACTGGCAACAATGGCGACTGCACCACCAGCCCAAAATGCCCATGGCTCATGGCACCACAAATGTTGGGTGCAACCTCCTTTTCTAGTGTCACCTTCCCATCATCTCCAAACGTTGCACACATCTTTATCCGACCATCTAACGTCGAGTTTCCATTCGACGTGTGATTAGTAAAATCTATCTGAATTCCGGCCTTTTCTGGTGACCGAATCTTAACCTCGAACTGGGTATTAAAGTTCATGTCGTCCCCAGAGTTGTAAGCTTGTAAACCTAGCACAGGTGACACTAATTGATAACCTAGTAACTCATCGTAGTTATCATAGTAAATGTTTGACCAATTGCTACCTAGGGTTTGTGTTACTATAAGGATTCTTTCTATACAAGGATGAACATCCACACCTACGTTCAAGTGAAATTCTTTGATGGTTGCACCATACCTCTTGAGGCTTCCACATCGATACCTAGCTGTATAAACCGTAATGCCCGTCAGATTTGATGGCAAGTTGATGTTGTACTGTGTGCCTGTTTTGAAATATTTGTTGTATGATTGGAACGTATAATCTCGGATCACGAGATCGAGAAGTCTTGTGGATTTGATCCCTTGACCTTCAATGAGTAATAATCTTGATGGTAAGGCTAAGAGAAGAAGGAACACCCAGATGAAACTAGGCTCATTGGAGCCCATATTGATCTTATATAGGGATCTTTCTTGGATCTTTATGGGAAGTGATGAAGTTGGTATGGTTTCTTGTGCTTGTTTGGAGAGATGGGAATTGAAACCAAAAGGGATTGGATCAAGAAAGCAAATCTTGATCAAGAAACATGGTGTTGGTTTCTTTCTTTGGAATTAAAAGAGGGAAATTGTAGGGTTTGTTTGGGGAAAAGTTTGATGTTGTGAAAGGGAAGCAAAGAGTGTTGGAGGGATGATGAGAAGCTAGCTAGAGGTTTGGTGTTTGTGTAAATTGAAGATGGTATGATAGCTAAAGTGGTTTTGTGGGATCTTGAATGTGAAAAAAGATGGTTGCTTTTGGAGGGTGTGGGGATGATGAGAGTCACCTAAAGTCTTCTTTTGTATGGATAATATATGTGTAGATAATGCATACAATATATATAGCTTTTTAATTAGCTTTTATAAGTTTGTGGTTGATAATGACATTTTATTACAAGAAAAAGAAATATTATAGCATCTTTAATCAGGGTTTTTTAAATATTTGAAAGGATGCAGTACACGACAACTTTAAAGGGAACATGAATCGGCTCTGTATTAAAATAACGAGACCAAATCCAGTTAAATAATAGAAAATTATTAGAATTTAGGTAATAAACCAGTTCATGATTTGGATATAATGTTTATAAAATATAAAAAAACTCAGAAATTTGATGTTATAAATCTACAAAATGATATATGTCTGAACAAGTTCATAATTAAAGATGTTTCCTATTATTTGATAAATTAAATGTGGTTGGTTATAAAGGTTGAAAAGGGGAGAAAGAATTGAATGGAAAAGATGAAGATGTAGGCTCATTAATGATGCATGCCCTTCATCATGGTGTCACTTAGGTCAATGGGAGTGGACCATGTACCACATAATCAATTATTACATGTACTTAAACTAATAATCCAACTCATTTATAGCATCTTATGTTTGTTTGAAGATTCAAACGAAAACATCTTCATTTTACAAGAACGTAAGAACATCCTTATCATATGTGATAATGCACTTAAGGAGACTTGGTGGTGCATGGATGTCGTGCCTTGCGACTTAGATCGTACCAAAGGTTGTCCGTGTCTATGATTTAGTATCACATGTGATGGTCTTGATGGATTATATTATCACATTAATAACACATTTATCACATGTGAGGGAGCTTAGTGGTGTAAGGGCGACTTGGCTTACAACCTAGATCGTGTCAAAAATCATCCACGTCTCTGATTTAGTATCACATGTGTATCATATGTAATCAAATAATAGTATCACATGTCATTGTTTATGGTAAAAAGGTGTTCTCGTATTTCTTGTAAGTGACACCATGAATTTTGCATTACTCTTGTTTATAAATTTTTCTTATATTTTTTTTTATTAACCTGGATATCCAATCCGCTATGCGAGTCGACTAATCCCAGGATGACCGCATGCTTTGCGGGTGGTCCGGATTCATCACATTTGAACCTCCATGGCCACAAGAGGATTTTTATTTCTCCGTGGATTTAAACCTGAAACCTCCAGACACTTTTGACCTTTGAAAAACAAACTCAAATCAATCAGAAAGCATCCTTCATGTTAGAAAATTCTGTTAAAATGATAATTGAATATTGAATTTGATGTAAAGGACAGAAATTTGGAAGTTGAGTGATCTGTTTGATGTTTTATAGGTAGTTGGGTTTATTAAACTTTTAAATATTTGTTATATATAATTCCAAGACAAATAAGTTTTCTTTGACTATATTTTATAAAGAAAGATGGCTTAGAAAGTGATGTTGGTGAAATGATTTTGGTGGAGAGGGTGTGAAGAGCTTAATCATTAATACTTCTCTCCTCCAAATTAAAGTAAAATTCTAATTAAATTTATATAAAACTACTTTTATTTTGAAAATTCTTTAAACAGTAAAACTTATGAGAAACAATGCATCATGTGTTATTTTACAGATTTTTTTTCTTCATATATGACTATGATTGGATGTAATGGTTAATATATATTTGTTTTACAATGTGTTTGTTTCATATTTACTAAGTTCACAATGTAAACATTTTTTATGTTTTTGTAAAATAAAAAAAATACATGTTATTTATTTTAAAATTGTGAACTAAATACATATTAAGAAACAAATTTATGTTAATCAAGGGAGACCTTATTTTGAAAACCCATGAAATTGTGATAACATTGAAAATTTTGTAAATCGTGTGTTATTTCATTTGATTCTTTTTTCATCTAAGATTAGGATTTATAATATTGATTAATATATATTTGTTTCGCAATGTGTTTGTTTCACATGTACTCGGTTTACAATGTGAAGTTTTTTGACGTGTTTGTGAAACAAAAAATACATATAGCAAAGTTTCACATTGTGAAACAAATATATGTTAATCCATACATTAAATACTATACTTAGACGAAAAAATCATGTGAAATAAAATCTTATGGTAGAAGTGTTCACGAATCTCATAAAATGTAGAGTTCTCAAATGATTTAGTCTATATTAATCAATACATTATATACTTTATTTAGATAAAAAAAGATTATGTAAAATAAAACCTTAAAATATAATTTCTCACGAATCTCATAAAACCATATATTAATAAATATATGTAAATATTTCAATATATGCATATATATAACATTCTCAGCAATTTTTCTTAACCAAATATAAATAAAAAAAGACAATAAAAAACCAATGCCCTACTAGTAATGGCCAAACTGACCCAGCTCGCCCAGGACCGGCCAAGGATCGGGACCGACGACCCATAAACGGTTACAATAAAACTTGACCGGGCTCACCTTTTTCCACCGGGACCGGGACTGGTTATGGCCGGATCTTTTAAGGCGCGGGACCGGTAAGAACGGGCCGGGCCAGTTTTCGACCATCACTATGCCCTACCTTTGAATTTGATCATTTAAACCCAGCCCAATCTTTAGGCCCAACTTACAATGTTTCATATTTGGGCCTTAGTCCCTAATTTATTAATCATTCCCAGTTTCCCACAACAAATTTCCAATTACACTCTCTGTACCAAACTAAATTTTCACAATTAAAAAATACAAAGTTTTAGAAATATGTATTATTATACTTCTTAATTAATTAAAAGACTATTTTACTCTTAATTATAGAGACATAAATTTTATACACCTTATAATTAAAGGTAGACTGAGAAATTAGACATTTTACCTTTATAATTGGACACTTATTCTGAGACAAACTAAAATAGATAATGTAGACATTTATTTTGAAATAGAGGAAGTAATTGAAAAAACGAAATTTATATATATTTTGTTACAAAAATTTACTTTAAAAGCGTAGCTAAAAGGAAGTATTACATTCATATCAATTACGGTATAAAACTATATAGCAACAAGACACAACACGTTACTTTTCGCTTCTTTTAACAAATTCTTGTGTACACACAGATCATATATATGAAAACTCAAAAAGTGAAAAAAGATACCGAAGAGAAATTTGCAAAATGTCGATGGCAGGACCGATTAGTGAAAATTGACATTGGCTTGGTAAGTCAAGCCGAGGTTCCAGTTAGCCGGTGCGACATTGTAAGCCGTTATGGTTTGTTTAGTGGTGTATGAAGTTAACCTAAATGAGAGGGCTTGACCACGAAGGGTCGCAAAAGCTTGATACGAGGCTCCCCAGTTATGGCTCATGCTTATCCAAGCCGTCTTGGTTCCTTTCACCCACATGCTTCGGATATCACCCGCACCACCCACGTTCATCACATACACTAGCAGCCAGTACCCGTTGCCTTGAAAAGAGAATCGAACACCACCTTTCCTCACGCAGGGTACCCTACATCAAAGGGGCGTTTTAGTCAATAACGCATTTTATCAACTAACATTCTAGTGTTTTTTCGAGATTTTATAAGACACTGTTTTATATATTTAACAAAGGCAGGCCAATCTAATTGAATTCTTAAATGGGAAATAGACCAAAATGGTTAATCTCCCCAACCAACCAACTTCACTTTTTAATCACTTTTCTAATTAAATTGTAATTTTAGCCAGAGTTTATATAAATGCGTAAAGATTCAGATTTATATATGTGTGTGTGTGTATATATATATATATATATATATATATATTTCTTTGTAAAGATTCAAATTTTTGCTTAAGAATCCTAGCGTATATCCTTAACGATTTTTTTTTCCATCCAAAAATCAGAGTTTATGCAAATGCGTAAAGACCAACTACTTTGAAAAAAGGCACTCAAAAGTGTCTAAAAAGTGAATATAATTGATGAGATTGACTATTTCAGTTAATTTTCATCATTTAAGATCATATAAATGTATGTACCTGCGGTACATGACAGGGACAATGCCAGCTTTCCATTGAGCGATTTGCATGAAAGCAGGCTTGGCCATGTCAAAATGGGTTCTAGGAGGATTGCACCATCCACCTTTGTTCGAATCCTGAGACCAATTCGGGGGGCAGAGGTTGGTGGCAGTGATGGTGGCAATGCCTTTGGAGCACCATGGGGACTCGACACACCTTATTTGGTAACATTGCCCACACGCATATCCGTCCCTAAAGATAGTTGAGCTCAATGCCGCTGTATTGGTGCTGTACCCGTTGGTCATCAAGTTTCCGTATCCACAAGCACCTCCTGATCAACATATTATCGTTAATTTACTATAAGAGATCTACAAAATTAATTTACAATAAACAACGTACCCATGGTGGAAGAGGCGGACTCGTCTCCGTAAAAGGTGGCATGGGCAAGAGTCCACGGACTTGGACGATAAACAATCGGTGCACGAGGGATGGAATACACAGCTCGAACCAAAACTGAACCAAATAAGACGATGATACAAAATACATATGAATGATGAAATGAAGCCATTGTATTTTTTTTTTTGTTTTGGCCTTAATTATTTACTTTAAGAGGCATGCATTTATAAGACCCAAACGTCTGCACAAAAGAAAAAGAGTGGGTTTCACGAAGCTTGTGTTATTATACACATTAAGTGAATTTTGCATTTTATATATATATATATATATATATATATATATATATAATTTCAATGCAATTAAGACTTGTAGGTGTGCAATAAGGGTTTGTACTTTGGCGACAACGTGCGAGCAGGTTTTATAGTTATCATATGAAGTGGAAATATGGATTCAGACATGGCAAATAGACACCCAGTTAAGGGGACCGAACCGGTCCAGTATAGAAAACCAATTAAAAAAAAGACCAACCGGTAAACAACATTTAAGTATCTTTTTGTTAGTAACCAAGGGAGTGTTTGGGATTGATTATTTGAAACAACTTATGTTTTTCTAAAAAAAAATTTATCAACTTATTATAAGTTAGAATGATTTAACTTCTTAAAAAACTTCTTATTACCGATTTGACACCGGTATAAGTTGTTTATTCGAACACTTAAGTGTTTATTACCGTATCTCACCGGAATAAGTCAATAAGTTGTTTTTATAAGCAATCCCAAACACCCCCTAAACTAGCTGACTAAATGACCTGACGTATAGAAAGTGGATTATTTAGTAAGTTTACAGACAAATGGGTGTTATGCAGAAAACCTAGTTATTTTTCAAACATGTCTCTCCGAATAAAAGAACTTCTTCTATCTATAAAAAAAATTCCAAACAAAAATCCTCCTCATCTATACAGACAAATTAATTCATACAGACGATTTTATTTATGCAAGACTTAATGAAAAAAAACCCAACCAAACAGCCCCTAAAACAATTTTGAAGGGATGGATCTGGGACTGGGGAATTGATTTTTGACCATCTCTAGGGTTAGAGGTCATTTTTTTAAGGTAAGACGGTAGCGCAAAAAAGACATGAGTAGATAACAACGAATCTTAAAACACTGGAAACCTCAATTTATTCCATTAATTATTGATGTTCAAAATACACAACAAGATTATGGTCTAACCATTACAACTTAATCATTAAGATTAACTTGAGACAACAATGGTTTGTTGGAAAAGAAAGCTTTCAAGTTCCCAATCACTACATCTTTCAATGCTCCAAACGATTCGGGCGTTAGAACCGCTCTGTGTGGAGACAACACAACGTTGTCCATTGTAAATAGCTCCTTCGGTATCTCGGGTTCATTCTCATACACATCAAGACCTGCTCCTCCGAGCTCACCTCCACCCAACACCTTCACTAGTTCCTTTTCATCCACGATGGCCCCACGCCCAATGTTGACGAGAATTCCCCTCTTCCCCAAGGCCATCAAGACTTCACGGTTTACGATGTGGTGCGTTTTGTCGCTCAATGAGCAACACAGGATCAGAGCATCACTGGCAGTAGCAAGTTCTAGAACAGTGGAGTAGAACGGATAGGGAATTTGTGACTTCTTGTTTCTTGAGGTATAGGCAATGCTGCAACCAAATGGCTCTAGCCGTTTCCCAACCATGGTGCCAATACTTCCAAACCCAACAATTCCGACGCGTTTCCCCCCTAACTAACAATCGTAGCGGTTGTCAATTAGTGTTGTTTATACAAGCTACACGAACATAATATAACGACCCAATAAACTTCGTATAAACCTTAAAATCATGATAAAAGTTGTCGGTAGCTCAATCGCAACTTTGAGTTTATAACAAAGTTCAATAATAATTTTGAGCTTATAAGAAAGAGAAGATAAAGAATATAAAAATCTCTACATTTGAAAAAAAAAATCCCTAAAACTTTGTATATAGAGAAAGATAATATATTAATCATTTTTTACCAATAAAAATAAATGTTAAAGATAAAAAATAATATTTTATTAAATGTATTAAATATTTTAATAATACTATAAAAGTACTCTCGCAATGCGGCGAGACACGTCTTAATTTTAATGTTCTATTTAATTATTTGTTTTTATCGATGTTATAATACGATTTCATGTGTTTTTAAAAAAACAATAATGATTTTATTTTTGAATAAAATATAAATGCGAAGATATCATAAAAATTTGAAAAACAATATATCAATATTAATATTAAAATCAACTATTTAAAATTTCTCATTTTTATGTAATTTCTATAATTTATTATCATTTAATTTAAGTTTAATAACGAAATAATTTATTTTTGGTTTAATAATATAACATTTTATAAAGATAATAATTAAGTATTCTGTTAGAACTCAAYGATTATCCTAATTATATTTTAGATTTTTTATATTTAATATGAGATGTWTATCTTGTATTTGATTATGTTTATTTGCAGTTAGTTACACGAATTCAGATATGAAGCTTTAATAAGTTGTACTTACGCACAATCTATTTGCAATCTTGAGTTTTAAGTAATATGCATTAATAAACAGTACTTTATGCATAAAAAATGGTTTTTAAAAGTTTTTATCAAATATTTTATAATATAGTATAGATAATTAATATTGAAATCGATAAAATAGGATATATGTTGAATTGAATCTAATTCTTCTTATCCTTTATGGTATTCACGACCTTCCACGTACTTTTGGGGTTTTTTGAGGAAATAGATTGATGGAAATGACGTCATATTCCTCGTTGAAATCTAGTTCCTGAATTTTCTTATAGTTACATTAACATATACACAAATGAATTTTATAGAGACAATAGATTAAAAATATATTTATATAAAGAGAGTATTTGATGGTGTAATTATCTAATGCATATGTTATTAGATAATCAATAATCATATTAAATCTAAGAAATAAAAGAATATAAGATTTATCGGGATGAGTTGAGTTGGGTTCAAATAAAATTAACCCAATATAAACTAAATACCTACGATTTGAAGATTTTACAACTCGATTGAAATCAGGTTTGAATTATTTTGCGTTGGATTTGATTGATCAGGTTTTTGAACACCCTATCGTTAGGTGCTGACATAAGTTCTGAAAACTATAAAATTAATTAGGTCTTTTTTTTTATTTAATTAGTTCATACTTGATTACGTGTAGTTTTTTCGATTAAAGTATGTAGATAACTAATTTATAAAAATTCAATATCCCTAAAAATTTCAAAATTTTAATTACTCAAAACACGAAAGCTTTTTTTATGTAATTATTTTTAATTAAATAAATATAAAAAAAAAAACTATAAAACTATCCAAAAATTAATTGAAACATAAAATAGTAATTATAAAATAAATGAAGTGGGAAGACTGAAAAATGGTCTAACTGCTCTTAGAAATCGTTAATTCCAATGTTGATTTCACATGAACAAGATGAGTAGATCAATTAAGCAGAAAAATATGATATGTAATCGATAAATTTGATGATGGCGGATTGGATAAGGGATTCAGAGATAGACCTTGTTTCCAAGGGGATAATCGCCGATGACGGGCCACAACCCGCTCCGAACATACCTATCGGCGGCGGAAACACGTCGGAGGACGTCCAACAATAACGCTATCGCATAATCGGCAACGTCTTCCGAGAAGGCGTCACCGGCGCCTGTGACGTGAATATTACGGCGACGGCACTCTGCTAAATCAATATGATCAACACCTGCGGATGTTCCAACAACGATTTCCACGGAAGGATACTGATCTAAGTGCTCGGATTTGAGCGGGCTAGGACCTAAGACAATTACGGCCCGAGCAGATGGTCCATGGATCAGAAATGAAGGATCCGAAGGATCGAGTGGGTTGATGATCTCCTTAATCCAGTGGAAGATGGAAAGAGTGTATATGGGGAGATGATGGATGATTGCGACAGGGAGGTGGTTATCAGTGGTGAAGGTGGATTCGAGTGGTTGCGGGCCGGCCATTGATGATGAGAGAAAAAGGGGGGGGTGTTCTGAACTTAACCTACGTAGTAGTGTTGTGGTCCATGGAAACAAAAAGAAAAGAAATTTATATACGGTAAATAAAAAGGAAAAGTCTAAAAAAAATCCAACAGATTTTAGTGTTTAGAATGATTAAGTCTTTGGATAATTTTTTTGGAACAAATAAGTCATTGGATATTCCAAAACATGTTAAATAACTTCTTGGACTTTTTAAAATCTGTTAGATACATTCTTATAACCTATATAATTGGTTAATGTGGTAAAATAATGGAAAAAATCAAAAAAAAAAACCAATGAACATTTATATTTTAAACAATTAAATTCATAAACATTTTTTGAACCAAAAAAATAGATCTATAAAATTAAACAAATATAACAAAAAAGTACTTATATTTATAAAAATAAATTACAACGGATAAATGAAGGGAACAAATATTTCTTCGTCAAATTACGACTCCGAGAACTGCTCGTTTTTTATCTGTGAATTGTGTGAAAGTAGGATACTCCAAATTCTTCGACTTTTGTATTGTAAAAAACAGATTAAAAAAATGATATGGTAGTTGTTATGATCGATTTGATAGAAAAGACGGAATAGTGTGTATCTTTAAAAAAGATTTTTGATAAAATTTATTTTAATTAAAATAAAAAAAATTAAAAAAAATTACTGATTAAATTTATTTTAATTAAAAATAAGATATATAACGTATGTGATTTTTAAATAAAAAAAAG